GCATTGCCGAATGAATACTCCATCGCACGCACCTCCAACCGATGCATGTCGTTCACTTTCAGCGCTGGTCAAACTGACTAAAGACAACACATCCATTCACCGCGTGTACAGATGAAGATGTTGATTTCCTGTGTCCTTTGTGTCCGCTCCAATCTGCTGAGTTGATAGTACGCACATACCACGAACTCTTGTTGGAAATGGCATCTTCACGCGCTGACCTTCTGTTGACTTAAGATAGCCAACTAGCTTCTTCATTCTGCTCATGTTAATGCTGTTGGCGTCAGCATAGAGGATGCAAGTTCTTTGATCGTGAAGCTCAAACCCAACCTTTCCTGTGATCAGTAAGTGCCACTGCCCACTAGAGATCTGTAACGCTACTTCCTCTGACATTAATTCTTCAGATCCATCTGCCTCCTGAATCTCTGGTCCTGAGGGCACTTTCTGCTTCTTGGCTTGACCATAGAAACCCTCAAAGTTTTTGATCAAGTCACTGGCATACCGTCCTGGCATTATGTACAAGCCATTCCCAAGGTTGTAGGTACGCTTCAGAAATTGAACTCGACTCATCTCCTGCTATCTTCATCTGGCTCACTGAGATTTCAATCTTCTCTCTCAGTCGTCCAATGAAGTGTTGGACTGCCTCCTCCTGTCCGTAGTACAGGATGTCAACGACATGGATAAGCACAAAGACTTGGTCTGCCTTTCTTCAAGACATGCGGTCTCTCTGCAGACTTCACATCCAATGCTGTCTAGGAACTCAACTAAATGGTTGAACCATGCATTGAGCTCCTTGTCGTTGACCTGGCAAATTCTTGAACGCTCGGAATCTTCCTAGGTTCGTTGTCGCCTGAAATTCCTTCTTCTGATCCACGTGTAGGAATGCGTCTTTGATGTCCAAGCTTCCCGTCACCGGTGTTTCTTGCTGAACTCTGGTCCTCTGTCCATCAAAAACATCACTGGTAAAAGACGAAGTGCATGGGCGCTTGAAGTCGGCGACAATATATCATTCCTCTTGGCGTTGGCAAACTCCCTTGCCACAAGACGTCATCTTCTAAGCCACTGTTTCTGTTCTTTACTTTTCTTGAAGCTCCTTGTCTTAATTCGCCTGTCGTGGACAAAGCGAGCCGTAAGGATCTCCAAGTCTTGCTCTTCCTCATGAAGATCCCCAAACTCCCATCCTTTCCAGCCGCTTTTCCTCGACTTTGTCTGCAAGTAGATCTACTTGCCTTGCACTCTATCGTTCGTTGCTCCACAATTCATTTCTATCTCTTCTTTGTCCTCCTGAAAGTTCACCTCAAGAGCATAGAAGTTCTCTTCAGCGACTACTTCATCCAAGTGGTGCATCTCAATGTCCTGACATTGCGCTTGTCCTAATCGCTCTTGAATCACCTGAATCCGCAAAGAACTTGACGGCCTTTCTTCTGCGCTGCTTCCTTTCCAGCTGGTTCTGACATGACTGCACTTTCCGGCGGCGGTGTCTTTTTCAAAGCTTTCTCCCATGGAAGATCCTCAAAGATTACATCTTCCATATTTTCCACAGGTTTGTCTTCTGGTGCAATCTCTTGTGTTCTTGGGCAACGAGCTAGTTTTTGACACCGTCTCCAAATCCAAAAAAAACCAACGCAATGGATGTTGGTGCAGCAAAGGCTATTAGTTGGATTATGGTTTTTGACAGTCTCCAAATCCCAAAAATCACCAAAATCCAACTCAATGGATGTTGGTGCAGAAAAGACTATTGGGTTAATAGTTTTTGCTTTTTTGGTTTCGGTGATTTTTTGGATTATGTATGGTTTTTGACCCAGTCTCCAAATCCAACAAACAAAAAATCCAAAGCAAAGACTAGTGGGTTAATAGGTTTGTGTTTTTTGGATTTTTTGGATTGTGGTTTTTGACGGCAGTGCAGTGCAGAGATTCAGACATGATGACTGTGTGGTTCATGACTGCAGTGCAGTGCAGTGCAGAGACTCAGGTATTGTAATGATTGTGGTTGAATGCAGTGCGGAAAATAACAAAAATGAGAAAAAAGTGTACTACCGTGGTCTCCTCTTCTGTATATTTTTTTGGGGTGCTTTGCTCTTTTGTATTTTTCATGTGGCTTTGGTCAGTTCTAATTGATTCTCAACTAGTTTTGATTAATTGTGTTAGTTGGATACTTTTTTGGCTTTAGCATTCTGCACTATAATGAGATCTAAAATTCTAATTGATTTTCAATTTGTAGGCCCTTTGCAATGTTCTTTAAAATTCATTCTTAAAATGTCCCTTCAAATGTCCATTGAATTTCCTTTCAAATTTCCCCCCAAATGTCGTGCATATGTCCTCCAATATGTACTTCAATTGTCCTTCTAAATGTCCTTTTACAATGTTGTTGTAAAATTCCTTTGCATGGTTCTCCCCTCCTAAATTTCATGTTTTTCCTTAAACTGTCCTTATAAATAGCCTTTCACATTTGCTTTTGAATTCCCTATTTCATGTCCTTTAAACATGCTGTGCAATTTCCTTTTAAATGTTCTTTCAAGTGTCCTTTTACATGTCTTTTTCAAAGGCTGCACGTGTTTCATGACATGTGGACGCTTGAGTGGAAACTATTTCTACGCTTAAAATTAAAAGCGGGAGGGGGCGCGGGGAAGGGCGCAGCGCCTCCCCCGCAATGCAAACTAGTAACAACAGCAGTCTGGTCGGTTCATAACCATGGCAAAGTTGGTTGGTTTGTGGTAGTGTAACTTGGCACGACCAAAAAACAAACGTCACGGAGTTTCCCCAAAGAATCTTCCTTTGATAACTGCAATGGTCGCTGCGCTGGGTATCTGGGCAAAGTTTTGCAACTGCCTTCCTTCCTTTCTTGCTTTCTTCCTTCCTTCCTTCCTCCCTGCCTTCCTTCCTCCAAGCCAGCTAAACCTTAAACAATAATATCCCACCAAAGAAAAAAGACATATATATATATATATTCCACTAAAATATACCCCCCGTCATCAATGCTGGACCCAACCCACGCAAATCATCTTCAAAGCACTCATGCGTTTGTGTTGTATGTGTCTGTGTGTGTTTCACACATCTGATTTTATGCACTCATGCCTCTTTCATCTTCTTTCTGCAATGTTTCTTTGGCAAAGAAGCTGTGTGTTCCATGTCGCTGCCCGAGTGATTTGTGAAGGAAAGGAAGGAGAGCCGCCATCGGGGGGGCAGGGTGGGCTGAAAACGACAGCACCTCCCTGACCTTGCTGGCAAAAGGGCCCCAAAAACCGAAAAAACTAAAAAAGGAAAACTAGCAAAAGCAAAAGCATAAAGAAGCTTTGCAATCAGTCTTTTTCCCCAAACAGTTTACTGTTAGGGGTTCTCAATGCTTTAAAGAATGGTCGCCTTGGTGCTGGATGGTCTGGTCGGGTTCCCAGCCGGCTTGTCTCCCACTTCCTTTGTCTCCCAGTTCTTTTCAGTCGGGGTTCCCGGCTGGCTTGTCTCCCACTTCCTTTCATTTGCATCCCAATTCTTTTCATTGTCTTTCAGGCCACTTCCTTTCATTTGTCTCCCACTTCTTTTCATTGTCTCCCAGGCTGAGTGCTTGTGGTCGGGTTCCGGGCCGGCTTGTCTCCCACTTCCTTTCATTTGTCTCCCACTTCTTTTCATTTGTCTCCCAGGCTGGGTGCTTGTGGTCGGGTTTCCGGCCAGCTTGTCTCCCACTTCCTTTCATTTGTCTCCCACTTCTTTTCTGCTTGTGGTCGGGTTCCCGGCCGGCTTGTCTCCCACTTCCTCTTATTTGTCTCCCACTTCTTTTCATTTGTCACCAACTTCTTTTCATTTGTCTCCCAGGCTGGGTGCTTGTGGTCGGGTTCCCGCCCTACACTTGCTTTCATTTGTCTCCCGGTTCTTTTCATTTATCTCCCAGAAATGCTTCATTTGTCTCCCGGGTCCGTCACTGCTGGTGCCATGTAGCATTTCTATTCATTTGTCTTTGTCACTGCTAATTTCCGCCCTTTTCCGCTGGCCATGCAGCATTTCTATTCATTTGTCCCCCAGGCTTGTCACTGGTGGTGTCCGCCCTTTTCCGCTGTTTCTATTCATTTGTCTCCCAGGTCTGTCACTGTTGGTGTCCGCCCTTTTCCGTTGGCCATGTAGCATTTCTATTCATTTGTCTCCCAGGTCTGTCACTGCCAGTGTTTTGTCTCCCAGGTCTGTCACTGCTGGTGTCCGCCCTTTTCGTGCAGCATTTCTATTCATTAGTCTCCCAGGTCTGTCACTGTTGGTATCCGCCCTTTTCCGCTGGGCATGCAGCATTTCTATTAATTTGTTTCCCGGGTCTGTCACTGGTGCTGCCGCCCTTTTCCGCTGGCCATGTAGCATTTCTATTCATTTGTCTCCCATGTGATTTCTTTCTTTTTGTCTTTCAGGTTTGGTGCCTGCACTGCTGTTTTCTGCCCTGTCCGCTGGAACAGGTTCGCCTGTGAAAGGTTCTTGCTCCTTTGCAAGGGGTGCGTGACTGTCTCCGGGATTGCATTCCTGCCGCACTGTGTAACTCTCTCAGCTTTGTTTTCCTTCTCGGGCAACTGTTGGATGAATGACCGGATTGGATTTCGGCGGTGTGGCAGCGATCTCTCTATTCAGTTGGGGCGGAGGGCATATGTCAGGCACCAAAAATCAATTTCACATCCTTCGCTCCTCATGCTTTTGTTTCTTGTCCTCACGTGGTCAGCTCCCCGCTGACTGAGCAGCATGACCAGCATCATGTTCGCGCTTGAAGAATAATTCCCCAAAAGGTTTACTGTTAGGGCTTCTCACTTCTTTCTTAAGATGTGTCCCCCCCGCTCTGTACTGCTGTGTCCGTCTCTGCCTTGCAATCCTTTACATTTATCTCCCAGCTCTAGTTTCGATTTTGAAAAACACAAACTGTTTGGGGTCTACGGTGGTGTAATAACATTATTTTAACATTGCAAGAATATAATTACACACAAAAGAAAACATAAAACGCTTTTGAGATTGCAGCACTCTCACCGATTCCGTTTCAACGCCTTGCAAAGGTGCGCAAACAAGCTGCAAGTCATTCCTTTCGGGCCATCTCGCATGCGAAGTCCGCGGATTCTGAGCCGTGGTATGTCCTGCGAACAGCGTGAGAATGAAATGCATTCTGATCATGTGCCTACTTGTTAATCAGACACCATATTCGGATGAGCATCCTTCAAATTGAACCATGCATCGCCGCCACCAGAAGTGCTGCCACCTCCAAAAACATCACAAAGAAGCCACCTGGCAAAAGCCACTATATAAGTCAGTGGCTGAATGTAGAACCAAAAAGTCCTTTCTTCAGTCCGTACAAGTCAGCTCCATTTTCAGCAAGCCCAGGCTCTTGATGGCCTTGCACGGCCTTCAGGGCATTGGGAGTCGATGCAGGTTTGCAAGAACTTTTCCTTGAAACAAACAGGAGCGCAGTCACGCAAGTATTTTTCAGACCACTTCCTGTGTTCACCACATAAACTGCAATGGTCTGCATTGCAAATTACAAACTAACAAATGTGAGGTCGTCTGTGCTCTTTCGCACTCCTCAGTGGTCATCTCGTTCAGGATCTCCAAGATACTATCCTCATTGACTTCCCGATAGCCTGAGTGAAGAATCTCTTGTTTGCTGATTGACAAACCAAGGAATGAGGTAGGCCAGGCCTGCAAGAACGGCCTGAGACAAGCATGATATTGCAAGGATTTTGTGCGGCATGGCTGGAATGAAGGAACGAAGAGGAATCAAGGCTTCTGTATGTGCATGAGGTTGAGCTCAGTTTCTGTTCAACCCCTTATAAGTCCGCAGTTTCACGAACACATAGGCTGTTGTCTGCAATACGTCTGATACGCAAATCTGGTTGCATTGCTGTTCAGGGATCCAACCGCTGGTGCAAGTACATGCTGATGCAAGGTGACAAAACAGCATGTTTTGCTTCACAGGTTGCTACTAGCAACTAAGATATCCCCGAAAGCGCTTTTTTCACGAAATGTCGATGCGTCCATTGTAAAGGCAAAAGCGCCACAGTGCCACGGCCAATCTCAATCAATACCTGGCTCCTCGTCACTCCCTTCCTCTGGCTTGCTCTTTGCCTTCCCATCTTGCATGCAAACTTGTAAGTGCATCAACAATAACATATTCAAAACCTCAACACACAGAAGTCAATATAAGACACACCACGGCACGGTTTGGGTGCCTCTTCATGCTTCTTGAGCAGTCGTGCCAGCTCATCGTTGTTGCGATCACGATCCAACCGCTGAACTCGTTGGTCGACCTCAAATCAGGCTGTGCTTTGTGAGGACTTTTCTGGTCTCTGCCGCTCTCTGCAATCTAGGACAGTGACACCCATGCGCTTTAGACCCGGCATGTCGTTTTCCTTTAGACCCTGGCAGGGGAGAAAAAAAACTATTTCAATATATATATATATATATATGCTACATGTATATAGTAACAACAAAAGACCACCAAAATGATGTTGACACCCCAGCAAACTGTACTTCATGTCACGGACAGCTGGAGTGTCTACCAATAGACTTGTCCACACCTCACAAACGTTGCTCGAATGCAGGAATAGGATTGTCAGACCATCAAGAAGTTTGAGTCTGCGGGCCGTTGACCAAACAGACCTGGAAGCCATAGTACTTCTTCAATTCCAGTGATTGCCACCTGTCCTTCAGGCAAATTTCCATAGTGCAAGTGCGATAAGGTCAGGTAGTCTGTGCGGACCTCCTTGTCCCGGAGGAGCTCAAAAAAGTACTGGTACCCAACCTGTAAATGTTGTGTGTTGCAAATGTTCATAATCAGAAGCAAAGGTTGATGGTCTTGTCTCAAAATTACATTCAAGAACGATCTTGCCTGAAGGTCAAGTTGCTGCCAGGTTGAAGGTATCACAACCTCATCTGTCTTTTTCTTACAAAAATTGTGAGAGCAGGTGCAACCTCCACCTTCAACATCTTCTGGCAAGGACTCGCGCCGTGGAAGCTTCCATGTGTCGCCTGAAGTTTGAGCGACTAAAACCGTGTTGGCTTGGAAAAACACCTTGGCGGCAGCTAATTGTATATCCTAATGCTTTAAGCAAGCACTTTCCATGTGCTGCCTAAGTTCCGGAGTCAAAGAACTAAAGTCCTGCAGAAAGGTCTTTCCAAAAAGTTCAAAAGTTTTGCAGCATGTTCCATTTTGGGGGATGGTTTTCTTGCTCCTAGGCTTGTCTTGTACAACTTCAAAAAGCTACTCTGCTCTCCTCCATGGCATCTGCTCCAAAAATACATATTGTGCGAAAACGCGAGAATCTGCATTTCAGCACTCACTGTACAAACTGTGAGCACATCAAGAGTTTGCATCAATCTGCAAATGTCGTTCATCCTCAGTGTTCAAGCATGATTCGTCAAACGCGCAAGGAGGTCAGAAGGGGGTGCACAGACCTCAATTTTGGAGCATGCAAGTGTTGTACGAATGCATGGAAGACGGGCCCAACCCACACATGCTTCATCCGTCACAATCAACAAATGCACCACGTGAGAAAAAGAAGACAATCCTGAAGGATAAGCCTGGAGCCTTTCTCTTTTTTGGGGTGTTGACCAACCGGCAAGAAAGCCTGAGATGCATGCTGCAAAGCTGATTGCAAGCAGCCAAGCATGCCGGAGGCAACGATCACAGCAGCATGCCTCAGGACTCATGTCACATCATGCCCGCAATACTTTGCACAAAATATCTATTCGTGTTCTCACTCATCTTCCAGCATGTGTTCCACGGCAAAATAGAGAGACACCCACTCAAACGGTTTATAGGATCATGTCTTGGGCGCATCCAGCACGACAGGGAATCATTGTGTGCTCGAGAGCGCTGTGACTTGTGACAGTGCGATGGTCTGCATGCTCTGCAGGCTAATGTGGGATAGTGATAACTTTCAACATGAACTGCTTGAGGTTAAATCAAACTTCGCTGGCTCAACCTCAAATAGAACACCCCTCAAAACAACTAAACCCTTGGCTAGCTAAAGACGTTGCTGACTCGCTTCGCTAGTTCAACAACTAGCTATCCCACGGATGAATTTAGCGAGCTCAACACTTGGCCATATCTTGCCGCTCAACTCACTTTTCTCACGATTTGCTTTATTTAATATCCTTCTGCAAAGTTGTCCTGGCGTGACAAATACATTGTCGCTGCCTGGCTGGGCTTCCACGGACAATTCTGTCCCATGTGTCTGCCGGAGCTGCGCTCAAGGCCTAGCATTGTACAAAGGGAAAACACACTCAATTCTAGCAATGCCAAGCTAGCAAGCACCGTGCGACTTGAAATCCAAAGTACATGAGTACGTGTGAAATGCTGAAGGAAGATCCAAAACTCTGATTGGCCTGGTGGCTGAAGAAGGCAGTGGCATAATTGTTGGCCTGCAAGTAGAGGAAACCCCACCGACTTAACCAAGCAAACAAGCAGAATATATTCACTGCGACTTCTCTCCCATCTATAATCCTGTCTTTCTTACACAAAAACAAATTCTCTCCGGGCTCTCCTCTGCCCAGAGCAGCATTGGCGCAACTTTCCCATGCTCTCCTTACGCGACTTTTCCAGCAAATGAAGGCAGGCCTTTACATCCCAGCCATTTTGGCTAATATCTGGCCAATTGGGTATACAATACAATGCTGGTCTGAGCCAAAAGCCAAGTGTGGGATCCCAAACACCCGCATCACCTGGCTGCAATGCTCAGTCTAGCCCCACATTGATAGATATCATCCGCAGTCACCTGGCGCCGGCACCACCACCAATAGCCTGCAGAGCAAGTCATGCTGCCTCTTGACCATGCAGAATGATCTTATGCTGTTTCAAATTTCAAACAGTTCAATGCATTGTTGTTTCAAGCTGACCTAGAAGAATTCGTCTCAAAGTTGCTGCCGACAACCGCCACGTGCGCATCTGCACCTGGCATGCAGCAAACTACATTATATTCATCAGAAACCCTGTCGGTGGTCAAAGGAAGTTTAGTGTACGAAACTTCCGTGTTACGGACATTCAAGAACCACTCTACACCACTCATCATACACCACTGATCATACACCACTCATCAATACACCACTCATCATACACCACTGATCATACACCACTCATCATACACCACTCATCATACACCACTCATCATACACCACTCATCAATACACCACTCATCAATACACCACTCATCATACACCACTCATCATACACCACTCATCACCCAGTTAGTTCTAGCTTCAAGAGCTCTAGCTCCAGTTAGCTCTAGTTGCAAGAGCTCTAGCTCCAGGTAGCTCTAGTTTCAATAGCTCTAACTCCAGGTAGCTCTACTTTCAAGAGCTCTAGCTCCAGTTAGCTCTAGTTTCAATAGCTCTAGCTGGCTCCAGTTTGCGTGGCAGGCACAGCACTTTGTGAACCTCCATGTGCAGAGTTCGTGGCAGGCACAGCACTTTGTGAACCTCCACGTGTAGATTTCGTGGCAAGCACAGCACTTTGTGAACCTCCAGGTGCAGATTTCGTGGCAGGCGACATACAAAATGCGTTCTCGAGAGATAGCGGACGCACGAAATGCTGCGTTTTTCAATAGAAGGGGCGGCTCCGCAGCTGGCAAGCCTAGCTTTGCGGAACGCAGTGTGCGAGACGGTCTCGGGGCATGCTCGGATCATGGTCGGATCATGCTCGGAATCGTCCCTCCATTGTGATTAGAGTTTTCACTTGTTTCTTGAAGTGCAGATTTCGTGCCAGGCACAGCGCTTTGTGAACCTCGATGCGCAGATTCCGTGGCAGGCGCAGTACTTTGTGAACCTCCATGCGCAGATTTCGTGGCAGTCACAGCACTTCTTTGTGAACCTCCATGTGCAGAGTTCGTGGACAGCACTTTGTGAACCTCCATGTGCAGATTTCGTGGCAGGCACAGCACTTTGTGAACCTCCATGTGCAGATTTCGTAGCAGGCGCAATACAAAATGCATTCTCGAGAGATAGCGGACGCACGAAATGCTGCGTTTTTCAATAGAAGGGGTGGCTCCGAAGCTGGCAAGTCTAGCTTTGCGGAACGCTGTGCGCGAGACGGTCTCAGGTCATGCTCGGATCATGGTCGGATCATGCTCGGAATCGTCCCTCCATTGTGAGTAGAGTTTTCACTTGTTTCTTGAAGCGCAGATTTCGTGGCAGGCACAGCAGGCGCAGTACTTCGTGAACCTCCATGCGCAGATTTCGTGGCAGGCACAGCACTTTGCGAACCTCCTTGCGCAGATTTCGTGGCAGGCGCAGCACTTTGTGAACCTCCATGCGCAGATTTCGTGGCAGGCGCAGAACTTTGTGAACCTCCATGTGCAGATTTCGTGGCAGGCACAGCGCGTTGTGAACCTCCATGCGCAAATTTCGTGCCAGACAGGCTGCTGCCAGGGAAGGTGTCACGGCGAATGTGTCGTCTCTGGGGCAGCCACCGAGGGCCTTGGCTCTGACGTAGGGCAGCAGCCCCCACGCGGGCAAAGACGGTGGTGTTCAAAAGGGTCATTTTGCCTGCCAACCGGCTGGCCTCAGCCGGTGTCATCGTCCCCTGGGCTTGTATGCGATTAATCTCCTGTCGGAGTTTCCGCCGCCTGGACTCGGTCGGGCGAAGGATGATGTCGGGGTCCTGGAACCTCGATCTCAATGCCGGGGAGTTCCTGCTTGGAGGATAGGGGTTGTGCCTTTGTGGGTTTCATACGGAGCCCTAGCAGGTCAGACATCACTGTGAAAGTCTGGAACCCAGAGGCGCTGCTAGCCTCAGGCTCGACTCCACCGAAGTCATCCACGTAGTGCGTCGCGCACGTAAGCAGGAGTTGTCGGGACAGGTGTGCTGCTGCGTCAGCTGCCCTGTTGAAGCCCCACACTGAGGCTGTGGCCCCGGACATGAGGGCCTGGTGTTGCCACAGGGTCGGCCCGTGCGTGCGAATAGCAGGGTGAATCCCTGCCATGGTTCCGCAATGGGGAACTGCCTGTATGACGACTGGAGGTCGTGGGCCCAAATGTGGGGCTGGTGTTGGTGGTTTCTAAACCAGGTGACCATCGACGCATACTCCCCGATGGTGTGATGGTGGGGAATGTCTGTTGCTCCGATGGTGCTGTTGTGGGCCCCGCGTCGGAAATCCTCGCACCGTCGGATCTTGTCCGACTGCACGACCGAAAAACAGACGGCCGTTGGGCAGTGCGACCAGTTGTTGGGGAGTAGGTGTATGTCTGCCCTCTGGGGGATGCCGACACAGCGCTTCGGCCAGTCCGTAAATGCCTGAAAGGGGCCAGCGATCCCTCAGTGACGGCACGGACCATCGTGCCACTCACATGTGCGACCAGGACCATACGTTCCTGGCCAGGCGAAAGACAGCTCGTCGCTGACACCGCTTCCACCAACTCTTCCATGCGGAGCCCTTCCAGTTCGGGCAGGGCGGCCCACATGTCGGCCAACATGGAGTGAGCTCCTGCGAGGGTATCCATCACGCTGGAGGTGATGTGCTCCATCTGAGTGGACGCCAACACGGCGTCTGTCACGCGCCATTGGGCAGTGGCATGTAAACGTCCTCCCGAGTGTTGTCAGTCTCCCGTAGGCTGACCGTGGCATCGATGAAGATGCGGAAGACAGCTTGCGCCTCCGGGGTCAAGGCGTGGAACGTGCAGAGAGCCGCACCCACACCAGTCAACGCCTTCCGAAAAGCGTCCCGAGACGCCCGAAGTCATGTGCTTCAGCTCACGAACGGACCACGCGGCCACTGGCTGGCTCCTGAGCATCGACATGGCTCAGAGAGCTGGTCCAGACCAGCCAGGAACAACCGGCCTGGACGCAGAGGAAGGAACCTCCTCTGAAAATTCTTTGAGCCAGAGCAGCTCCTGAAATCGCTGATCTGCTCTTGTTACTGCGTACAACATGTTGTACTTCACTTGCGCTAGGTACGCTGACTATGCTGTGTACGCTGATTACGCTGGCCGCGCTGGCTGCGCTGGTCGCACTGGTTGCGCTGATTAGGCATTTACGCTGATTACGCCGTTTACGGTCGTTAGGCTGTTTACGCTGGATATGCTGATTACGCTGATAACAAATGTGATCCTGGCCCAGAAATGCTTCCAATTGATTTGACAATGGACAGATAGAACCAAACCCTTGGACGAGAATAAAATTATAGAGGGACGGCTGAAATGTGTCCCAATCCAAAGGTTCGAAAAGTACTTGTTCAAGAAACACGCTTTCAAATGTTCGCAATATGTTGCACGAACCTCGTAAAGTCCGTGTCTGAAGCACAATAAATCCACATAGGGTCATTTTTAGTCGTATCTAGATGGAACTTGTTTGTAGCTGGGAACCAATGCAAAGTGGCCTGTGAGCATGGTGCAATTTCGCCTCAACCCCTGAGTCTTGCGTAGAGGGACATATAGGACGTCACATGTCTGAGAATTTGCTGCGCATGAGATCATGTCAACGATGTTGATTCTGCGAAGCGCAATGACCTTTTCGTCAAAGCTTGGGCCTATGCATCGGTACACTTCTCGATTAGTGTTGCGTCATGCCTGAGTGTATGTTCTTGTTGACTCATGCTCGTGTTCTGACACGCCCTCTACACTCAGGCACTTACAGCAGTAATCGATCGTTGCTGCGCCCGCAACATGTGGGCAGGCGCCGGCGCTGGTGCCGGTGCTGGTGCTGTGAGCTGGCTGCGCGGGTGGTGGAGACATGTTGCTGGCGCTGGTGCTGGGCGCCGGGCGCCGGCGCTGCTGGTGCTGTGAGCTGGCTGCGCACGTGGTGCATGGAGACAGGTAAAGCCTTTTGGTCATGGACAATCGTGGATGCTATGACGCACTGTCGAACAGTGACAGCCCGTTGTTGGGAATGAACAGTGCCAAGACAGGCATTGAGTTGATGGCAGTCCAGAGAGGCACTCGAGATGGCTCCAACTGCTACCCAACTTGAATTCCTTCGGACATGAATCATGAATCTGGCAGATTGCATGAGGAAGGTGGCGGCCGAGACCTTCAAGATTTGGACACTGTACCAAGCCCAAAATGCCTTGGATCATCAGGTTCAATGAGGAGTTTGTTGCCGCCAGAAAATCTCAAAAGCTTCGAAGACCCACGGGGAAAGCTTCACGCCCAATGTTGGACCAAAATCCTGAGGATTTGGATGTGGAGGAATCCTTGCAAGATGGTTTACACAGCGCCAGCGCCGGCACCAGCAACCTGTCTCCACCGCGTGCACAGCCAGCTCACAGCACCAGCACCGGCGCCCGGCACCCAGCACCAGCACCGGCGCCAGCAACCTGTCTCCACCACGTGCACAGCCAGCTCACAGCACCAGCGCCAGCACCGGCGCGCAGCACCAGCAACCTGTCTCGAAAGCGCGCGCGGGCAACTCATTGTTATTTGAAGTAAGAACCCCATAGCTTCGCTATCTGGGGAAATATGTTTATGATGTAAAATGCATTATTAAATGTAAAGAAAGATGCGCCCTAATTCCTCAACAATGAGAAGAACTGGCGCTGGATTAGCGCAATTGTAGTGCCACCAGCTGGGAAAAGTATACTTGGGAAGGGAGGGGACGAGAGCCAGCTTCTGGCTTAGGGGGTGCTCCCAGAGTACCTGGGCAAAGACGTGGTAACAGAGAAAGTTCGTGGGGTCAGCCACAGGGAGAGGAGGTAGAAATGGACAGTAGAAGATATAGGTCTGGGGGGGGGTGCCCTTTTCTGTCCTAGTTTAAAATTTCGAAATGAAAAAGGGCGCCCTTCGGGAAGTGAGGCGCCCTCGCCGGCGGCGTGTTGCGAACCAGGGAGCACAGAGAGAGAGAGAGAGCGAGAGAGCGAGAGAGAGAGCGAGAGAGAGAGAGAGAGTGAGAGAGAGAGAGAGCGAGAGCGAGAGAGAGAGTGAGAGAGAGAGAGCGAGAGCGAGAGAAAGCGGAGGTCCTCGTATATAGACATCAGTGTGCAAGGTAGAGTGGAAAAAGGGCAGCCAGAAGAGGTGAGGTTGATATTGGAGCGACGTGCGGGTGTAAGATGAAGTGATAGGCTAACATTATGTAAAGAGTACGTGTATGGGGTGAAGTTGGTATCGCAGGTGCGTAATAGGAGGTAGAAACAGACGGTAGAAGTAAAAAGGGGAGGCGCCCTTTTTCGTTCTGGTTCAGGACTGTTTTGGAGGCGAAAAAGGGCACCCTCAACAATTTCACGTGAGTTCGTCAGCTGCGTGTTGGTAATGAGTAACCAGAGACGGCCATCGGCAGGCTTCGTGCGGACATATACCCACTTCGTTCGCTCCAACAACCTGAAGCCTTGTCTACCAGGTGGCTCTCGTGAAGGCATGTCTTTACGCAACATACTATTACAGATAATTATAGAATTCCTTGGAAAGATTCTAACGTCAAGTGTAATAAAGGCTAAATACATTGACAACCCGATCAATCCGCATGTAACGAAGAACAAATGTCATATTCTAAGAAGGAAATACAACCTTCATGCATACCTTCTAAATGTGGAAACTACTCAGATCATTTGTGTAATATTCGGAAACCACCCGAGACGTACTAGTCACATCATTTCTTTTTCGGCCAATCGCTAAAGATGCAGCGACTGCGGGGAATGCCCGCCAAAGCATCACATCCGACGCAAAGGTCTCCATGCCACACAGTCAGAACAACTGGAAGCGGTCTGCCTCCAGCGCTTGCCCTCCTACGCTTGCCCACTGCTATGTGTTCTCTCTCCTGCCCTCAACAGATGGCATCATGCACCTCATGTGGGGTGCCTTTTTCAGTCCAGCAACTAGACTTTACCACGGAGAAAAAAGCGCGCCCCTACCAACGCTTGCCCGCAGCAATCTTGTCTCTTGCCTGCCCTCAACAACCCCCCAATCCACATGAACTCCTACCAGATGGGGAATGCCCTCTGTAGTTCGGCTCTCTCGCAGGCCCTAAACAGATGGCATCATGCACCCCCCCATGTGGGGTACACCTAAGCTATTCATGACCTTCCGCCTCCAACGCTTGCCCCCTGCAATCTCTTCTCTCTACTCTTGCGCGCTAACTCCCACCACATAGGGTGTGCCCTCTTCAAGTCGGTTCACTCGCAGGCCCTCCACAGATGGCATCATGCACCCTCTTCTCTCCTGCCCTCAACATCCCCGCAATTCACGCGAACTCCCACCGCATAGGGGGCGCCCTCTTCAGTCCGACGGCAACGCTACGCGCAGCCGCAACGAGAATCTGTTCTCTTTCCATGCCCTCCTGAGGCCCTGGTGATGCTGATGATGCACTCTTCGCCGTCAAATACATCACCGGCATCACAACACCCCTCAAACCAGTCGCTCTCCCCCACCAGGCTCTGGGTTCACCTCTCCGAAAGTGAGGTTCACAAAGTTCTGTGCCTGCCACGAAATCTGCACATGGAGGTTCACAAAGGGCTGCACCTGCCACGAAATCTACACATGGAGGTTCACAAAGTGCTGCGCCTGCCACGAAATCTGCACATGGAGGTTCACAAAGTGCTGCGCCTGCCACGAAATCTGCACATGGAGGCATCATGGAGGTTCACAAAGTGCTGTGCCTGCCACGAAATCTGCACTTCAAGAAACAAGTGAAAACTCTAATCACCATGGAGGGACGATTCCGACCATGATCCGAGCATGATCCGACCATGCCCCGAGACCATCTCGCAACCGTCGTTCCGCGGAGCTTCCCCGTCGAGGTTCGGAGAAGCATGGAGGTTCACAAAGTGCTGTGCCTGCCACGAAATCTGCACATGGAGGTTCACAAAGTACTGCACCTGCCACGCAATCTGCACATGGAGGTACCCAAGTAACCACCCCCCCACACCCCCTTTACTCACTTCGTTCGCTCCACTACCTCAACCCCAGCCTATCGGCTGGCTTTTGTGATATAATATATATATATATACAGAATGTGGTACGCGCTTCATAATGAAGACTCATACAGTTATACAGATTCTAGGTTGACCTCTTGTGTATATAAATGGTTGCCATAAAATTGAATGAACATTGGTCTGAACTCTCACAGTCGCCTGGCGGTGCTAGTTGCAACCCATAGTTGGCCAACTCATCCAAAGACTGCGCCTCCAAACTCCAAACACAAAAACCCATCTCCAAAGTCTTCCAGTGAAGTTTTTGTGATGCGGGTTCGTGCTTCACTGGATTCAACAAACACACCGTGCCTGAACTTCCAGCTCCTTGCGATCAAGTGGACGGATTGGCTTCACAACCTAGCAAATCTGGCAGCGCAAACAACTGGTCCAACATTTACATAGTTTCCCACAGAGGTACAATCAGCCTTTAAGGATTCTTCTATTGTGGATGCCTTTTCATCCCTTCCTTTGACGCCGTGACAAAAAATGAAAAGGCATTTGTCAAGCCTGGGACCGGAAGCATGCAGAAAGCACAGAAGGAGAAGACTGAAAGAGAAGAGAAGCGTGAAGGAAAGGAAAAGGAAAGAGACGCGCTTTCCTGTCTGCACCTTCAGCATTAAAGAACGTGCGACGTGAAGGAAAAAAGGCAAAGGAAAAGGAAGGAAAATGGTGTGAGGCAACGAAGAAACAAGAAGAAGAAAGTGCATATATGGAAAACAAATATATATGTTAGAAACCGGAGATGGAGTGAACATGCTCGGGCCTTTCTTTTGCACACCCAAATGCCTTTTGCCATGGAAGACCAAAGTATAGCTTAAGCGTTCTGATGTGAATCTTCAGGGGGTTGGCAGTAAAGAAAATTACAAAAACATTGTAAGTTTTGAACCATGTCCATTTGCAATGTGTGAACTGGCAACCCTGGTTCGCCGGGAGGCCACCAAGAGAAACCACCCGTGCCAAAAGCCAGAGATACAAAAACTACCAGCCCCAGAAACACACCAAAAGGCAGCAAAAGGCATCAATGCCAGTACCGATTCAGAAAGAAATTGCCACATGAACAAAACCTTCTCAATCAAACAACAGAATCCCTCAAACCTGCATAAACCCATCACATGTATTGCCCAACCATCTGAAAATGATAGGTGGCTGAGTTGAACTTATCTTGAGCCCTGTGGCTAAGGTCCACACAGGGCGAGTCACATGCTGCTCCACCTGGTGGTCAGAAAAGAACACTCTTTTGACTCTTATCAATGGGCCACAGACTGCCTCATCTGGGCCACTTCCACAACAAAGTCCGGCCAAGCACCTCAAGCAAAACAGGTCTGCAGTCAAAACATGGGATAGTTGGTTTTAGAAGTGCTGAGGCATGACCTGTAAATTAATTCACTTTGCACAAACTGCGGCAGCAAGGGGAGGAGGGGTTGGGGCAGTCCCATCTGCCTGAGCATTCACCGAGCGTTCACCTCGGTCCGGGATGGAACAAAGCTTGCAGTTTGCAGTTGTGGATTCCATCACGTGTTGAGTCTGGGACGTCTTTGAATTTTAAATTCGACGATTTCCAAATCAATCAAGTACTAAAGTTCAAATGAGCAACCGCAACTCAAAAGAGTTGTTTAAATTCTATTCCAAGATGTTGAACATGTTTTGTAATCGTTCCGATTTGTACAAACCTTTTGCTGCTTGCATGACAATAACTTCTAGCGGCCGTAACCGGCACATTGCTGCACGCTTGAACCACCCAATTGCGGTATTCACACAAAAACAAAGTGCAAACTGTTGAGCTGCGTGGCATGTTTTTTCGGCTTGGCTCAGACTCAACGCAATCCATTTGTCAAATTTTTCCCCAGATAGTGACAGCTATGGGGTTTTTCCCCAGATAGCGAAGCTATGGGGTTCTTACTCCAAACAACAATGTGTTGCCTGTGCGCGCTTGCGAGACAGGTTGCTGGTGCTGGGTGCCGGTGCCGGTGCTCGTGCTGGTGCTGCTGGCTGTGCACGTGGTGGAGACAGGTTGCTGGTGCCGGTGCTGGTGCTGGGTGTCGGGTGCCGGTGCTGGTGCTGTGAGCTGGCTGCGCACGTGGTGGAGGCAGGTTGCTGGTGCTGGGTGCCGGGTGCCGGTGCTGGTGCTGGTGCTGTGAGCTGGCTGTGCATGTGGTGGAGACAGGTTGCTGGTGCTGGTGCCGGGTGCCGGTGCTGGTGCTGGGTGCCGGGTGCCGGTGCTGGTGCTGTGAGCTGGCTGTGCACGCGGTTGTGGGTGTGCGCGTGGTGGAGACAGGGTGCCGGTGCTGGGTGCCGGGTGCCGGCGCTGGTGCTGTGAGCTGGCTGTGCACTTGGTGGAGACAGGGTGCCGGTCCTGGTGCTGGGCGCTGGCTCCACGCGTGGTGGAGACAGGGTGCCGGGTGCCGGTGCCGGGCGCCGGTGCTGGGCGCTGGCTGTTCGCCTGGTGTTTCTTGTTTTTTCAAACGAAAATGAGCTGGCTGCGCGCAGGGTGCCGGTGCTGGGTGCCGGTGCCGGGTGCTGGTGCTGGCTGTGCGTGCTTTGAGCTGGCTGTGCGCGTGGTGGAAACAGGGTGCCGGTGCTGGGCGCCGGTGCCGGGTGCTGGTGCGGGCTGTGGGCGCGTGGTGGAGACACGGCGCCGGTGCTGGGCGCTGGCAGTGCGCGTGGTAGAGACAGCGGGCGCCGGTGCCGGTGCTGTGAGCTGGCAGTGCGTGTGGTGGAGACTGGGCGCCAGTGCTGCGTCCTGGCTGTGCGCCGCGTGGTGGAGACAGGGTCCCGGGTGCTGGGTGCTGGGCTGGGTGGTCGTGCCGGTGCTCGGTGCTGGTGTCCGCTTCTGACTGTGAAGCGATAACAACCGCCGCTTCTGACAGTGAAGGCCGCTTGCAGCAGTGAAGGGCGACCAAGCGCGGCTTCCGACAATGAAGTGCCAGCAGTCATGGGCCGCATGAACTTATGCACGCAACATCATGCGGTGTTGTCGCCTGAGCATGCTTTGTCTATTAGCGCTGTGGGGTATTTACACGTCAAGGATATAGAATTTGCGCGCATACTTTTGTACGTATAATGTTGTACGCGCAACGTCAAGCTCTCAACCGACCATGGTTTCAGCGTGTTTCAGCGCGCTACACACACAAAAGTCGTGCTGGATACTGCTTGGCCTTGGGCGAGTGAAGCCTACGGGCTTTGCCGTTTGCGCGCGTACTTTTGCTCGCATAAACTTATACGCTCAAGATCATACGGCCTCATCGTTCTGCAGATCGTTGCTTCAAACATGCTACATAGTGGCGCTGGATACTGCTTGGCCTTGGGCCATACGTTGTTATTTCCCAAATAGGGCTGGCTATGGGGCTCTTGCTGCAAATAAGAATGAGCTGGCTGCGCGCGCTTTCGAAAGGGTGTCGGTGCTGGTGCTGGTGTCAGCTGATTGTGCGCGCTGTGGAGGTGCCGTATTCTGGCTGCGCAGGCTGCGTACATTCTTTTTCCAGCCAGTCGCATGTCAACAGGTCGTGGGATTCTGCTTAGCTATCTGGGTCTATGCCGGTGTAATTACTTCAAACAGCAATGAGCTGGCTGCGCAATGTCGGGACAGGGTGCCAGTGCTGGGTACCGGTGCGGGGTGCTGGTACTAACTTTGGCGCTGGTGGTGGGTAGTGTGAGCTGGCTGCGCGCGTGGTGGAGACAGGGCGCCGGTGCTGGATGCCGTTGCTGGGCGCTGGTTGCGCGCGTGGTGGGGACAGGGTGTCGGTGCGGGGTGCTGGTGTCGGGTGCTGGCGCTGCCTATGGTGCTGGCGCTGGTGCTGTGAGCTGGCTGCGCGCGGTGGAGATAGGGCGCCGGCGCTGGGCGCTGGCTCTGCACGTGGTGGAGACAGGGCGCCGGCGGTGGGCGCTGGCAGTGCGCGTGGTGGAGACAGGTTGCCGGTGCCGGGTGCTGGTGCTGGGTGCTGTGGGCTGGCAGCGCGCGTGGCGGACACACACTGCCGGCGCTGGGTGCCGCTGCAGGGTGCTGGCTGCGCACGTGGTGGAGGTGTGCATACTTTTGCACGCATAAACTTACACGCGCAAGATCATACGCTGTTATGGTTTTACAGATCGTTGCTTCAAGCATGCTACAAAGTCAATGGATACTACTTGGCCTTGGGCCAGTGGCACTTGCGGGGTTCGCTGTTTGCGCGCATACGTGCGCATACGCGCAAAATCATAGGTTGTCATTCCTCAGATAGCCAAACCATAGCTATGGGGTTCTGACTTCAAATGAGAATGAGCTGGCTGCGTGCGCTTTCGAGAGGGTGTCGGTGCTGGTGCTGGTGTTGTGGTCCTGGGTGCTGGCGCTGGTGCTGTGAGCTGGCTGAGCACACGTTTGAGGCGGGCGGTGGCGCTGGTTGGGTGCTGGTACCGCTGCCGGCGTTTTCAGCTGGCAATGCGCACTGTCGAGACAGGGTACCGGTGCTGGTGTCAGCTGGTTGCGCGCGCTGGATGTACATTGACATTGTACAGCCTTGTTCCATCCCGCCGCATGTCAACAATCGTGGGATTCTGCCTAGCTATCTGGGTCTATGCTGGTGTCATGTACCTAGATAAAAGATTTCGGTCAGTCTTGGACGTTTTTCCACGGTTGCCAAGCGTGTCACTACAGATTGAAACGTGTCTTGCATCAGCAATGAGGCAGCGCCTGTCAGGCCTGCTTCGGAAAAATCATGCTAGCTGGCGAGGCGCGCAACGCAGAAAGCATTGATTTCAGAGTGGATGAAGTGCACAAGGGAGCTCAAAGAAAATCGCCATGGGAGGTTGGCGGCGTCCCCAATGGTCAGCGGACAGCCACACGGCGGTGTGAGCTGAATGCGGAAAGACAAAAGAAGGCAGTTCATCACAATCCCCTGTTGGCCGTAACGAAGGAATCCACCCCGTCTGCACATTGGGCAATGTCCAAGCGCAGGGCGGCCCATGGCGGTTGCGGCCGTACGCTGCACCACTGGCGGTTTCCACCGTGTTTGGATGGAAAGGTTTACGTACACACATTATCCCGGAAAGAGACCCCAAACACTGTGTCTATATAGAGGTCTACGGTCTAGAGGTGTAGAAGCACAAGGTGTCGTCAGTGGATTGTCCTGAATAATGCCGACGAATCCTTTCTCTCATATGTTGAAAGTGCCCTCAGGTATGAAGCCCAGCAACGAATCTGGCTTGATCTCAATGGCAAACCCATCGCCAGCCTGGGAGGTTTCGATCCAAAAGGCAAAGGCAAAGAGCGTAAAGGTGGAAAAAGGAAGTATGAGAACCAGGACAGAGAGGGCAAGGGGAAGAATTTGGGAAAAGGCAAAGGCACTGGATCCGGGTCAGAGACCAGAAGCTGTTTCCAATGTGGGGAACGAGGTCAATTGTCCGCCAACTGTCCCAATCGTGACAAACGCCACGGCAGTCCTGAGAAGCAGACCAAAGGTGATCGAGGAAAGGGAGATGGAAAAGGAAAGAGTAAGGAGAAAGGAAAGAAGGATGAGAAAGGAGATAAAGGTGGAAAGGGTAAAGTGAAAGGGAAAAGGGCCACTGAGTTTTCGCAACCAGAATCCGAAGCTGGGTCCGAGGTATGGTCAGAACCAGACTTCGAAGACGGCGGTCGTCTTTCCATGTCTTTGCCTGTTGGTCCCTTCTTCATGCGCCAGAATCTCGATGATCATGATCCCCACCTTTGGCTTGTTGACTCCGGAGCGTCTTGAACCGTCGTTTCCACACAAGCACTGAAAGTGTATCGAGTGTTGAGAGCGAGACATGACCACACCCATCAACTTTCGAACAGCATCCGGAGAACCAGTAGCTATTGGAAGAGAATGTATGTTGGAAGTGTTCTTTCCCACCATGATTGAACATGAAGACGGTGAGAAAGCCAAGGTTTTTCGCTATGAGATTCGTGCCATAGTCGGACCTGTAGAACACAATTTGTTGAGTGTTCATGGACTCACCCGCATGGGAGCAACATTCACGTTCGGTCCGAACAGCTGCAGCATCCAAATTGCCGACATTCGCAGGATGACCTGCGAAATTTGGGCCAATGTACCTTGGGTCCGAGCTCATCGAAGGCGTGGCAAGGAGATGTAGATATGGAAGAAGCTCATGTTTTTGAAGCTTGGTCGGATCAAAGTCCTTCAAGTCAAGGGGGCAAGAGTCCAAGTCAGAGCAGCGTCTCCAGTCCTTCGAAAGACACGACGTATCGCACTTCGAGTTCGGCCATTTCTTTCTTTGGGACCACATCCAAATCAACACACACAGGTCACGCCAAAGTGTTGCAGTTCGCTGATGAACCAGAGATTCGTGAATTTGAGCCCAATACAATGTCATCCAAACCATCGGAGCTGCATGTTTCATGGCCAAATACATTGGGTTTGCGCTGGTAGCACATCGGATGACCATCCGCTTCCAGCCTCAGGTGATGTTGATGAGCCTATGGGTCCGATCCCAAGGGAAGATCATCCGTCAGATTCGGCCCAGATCCAGGCAACCGAACCGGCAAGTTATCAGCAGCTGAGTCGAAAGATCGAAAAGGAATTGGTTTTGCACCGAAGACGAGGTCACACTCCATTTGACAGCCGCTGTGATCATTGTGTTCGA